TCAGCAGTTGTTCTTTTGGGCTATTTGGAAGGGCACTGACATGCGTGTTTGCTCCAAATCCAGGAGCTCTGATAGTTCTTCCAGCTCCCACCATGCCAGAAAATGGAGAAGAGCTCTGATCTTAAGGATAGGACTTGTCTCTGACACTGACACACAGAACACTGTGTCTGGCCACGAATGGTCTTTTTAACACAGGTAAAATACAGTCAACTTTTCTATAAAATACTGAGAAAAAGCTTTGCCTGTCAGGGCAGAGAAACTCCAGGGTAGAGTTGCTCTTTGAGATGTCTTATCTTCCATCTAAAATTCACAAAAAAAGAGGGCCTGCTTAAGAGACTTGTCAGCATAGTTATGGTCACTAAAAATGGGAGAAGAGGTCATGCTCCTGAGTGACATGATCACGCCAGCAAAATTCCTGATAGAGATGAAAGTATACTGGCAACAAAGTTCTTTCCTGCTTATAACATACTCTGTTTAGCTTAAGCCCATCCTGCATTCTTACAGTCTCTTTTGAGTGTAAACAAGACCACAGCCGTGTTCCTGAAAATAATGTTTATAATATAAAGTAAAAGACTTAATGTTGCTTAAGGGATGCAAGTGGAAGGCTTCTCTTCCATATGGATATGGAAATGTAGTCCCTGTTTACCTTTGGAAGCGCATCAGTGAACTTTACCACAAGTTCCCCTTCACTCCCATCCTCATTTTCTCCTTCCTGGCTCTTCACAAAACCTGCAAAGTGATAAGAATGGAGTTCACCAGAAGAGAGACAGCAAGAACTTGGCTACAAATCCTCCTCAGATGATAGATCTCCAAAAGACCTACAGTTATTATCCCACTTGGACACAAGTTTTAGAAGTACTAAGAAGCTCCAAGTTTGAGCTTTGGGTCCATGTTTACACAGTAACTTTACAAGTGATTTTCCTGGTGCATTGTTAAATGGTTTTATTTTACAGTTAAACTTGGCACTGATAAGCTCAGTGCATACATGGACCGGAGGATAAGAACATGACAGCTCTTCCTACGCCACTCAAGATAGCACACTTTTGAAATTCTAATTTAAGATTCGTAATACACTGTTTCCATAGAAATTTATGCAAATTTCGATACAGCCAAAAAATAATCTTTTATGGAACTGTCTTTGACACAGCGCTCTGACATGCGATAATGTGATGAAGCATACACTGAAGGCATGCTGTCCCACTTACAGGAGCAGTCCTGTGATGGGGAATCGCTTAAAAAAACCACAGCAAGGGCATGTAGGCTTGCATTACATAAACAGCTGAGCCTCAGCCCTGCAGCACAGGGACAGGGAGTAAAGCCTGCAGCACTGGTGGGTACACAGTCCCATTTACAGAGACAAATCACTCCCTTTCTTTTCGCTTGAAGTTGATACTCTGACTTACTCTTTTTTAAACCAGGGTAATTATTTTTATTAGCTAAAAGCAGATGCTTTATTTTGAAAGCACTTGATCATCTGCAGCAGGCAGAGTTAGAAACTCAACTGATTGTGTTTGCTAAGTAGAAGTTTTCTGTGTAATAAGCAGGAACAACTTGTGCTTCTCTTCAAGAAAGTAATTATCAGATTGCCAAACAAGATGGAAGAAACAGCGGAAGACTACATGTCTAAGCATGGATTACAGCTAAATAGCTGTGGGGTTTGGACTGTATTGCTGACAGTATAGGATGACTTGTAAACTACAACAGATCTCTAGAACATCCCTTTATTGCACTGGAACAAGTGATCCACACAGCTATTTATTTAGATCCAATCAAGATGAAGGGGAACTAATCCAAACAAGCAGGAAACTTTGACAGAAAGAACAAAGTTGGGCAAAACCATACTTTCTAAGCAGCTGGAGTGAAACTCGATGTAGAACTTGGTCTGGGACTTGGTCTTCAGGGTAGCGTAGCAGTGCAGGAACTCTATCTCCCCTTGGGAATTTGTGTACTTGGAGTCTAGGAAAGAGGAAGGGAAAATAGTAGCATTTTCAACAGGAGATAAAGAGAGGGCATTTTTGACTCTTAAAGAGTCAGCTTTTTCTTTTAACATATACAAGAGCTGTCTTCTGTGCCCAAAGGTGAAGACGGCACGATCGCGCCCAACCTGACTAACCATTCTTTGAAACAAACTGTGAGGTGACTCCCACTTCGAAGGTGGCAAAGACAGGACTGTGGTCACTTGTCATGATGTCAGTGGTGCAGCCTGCCAATGAGAAAGGGAGGAGAGTTACTGCCCTGTGTTCTGCTCCAGTGAGATCCCCACAATAGCAGTATTATTCAGTAATTTTCCAGCAAACATAACTGTCGCTGTGGTAACTGTCTCCAGTCAAAGGTGTTTCTACATAATCTCATGTTAGTATTTGGGAATGTAATCCTTTGTCAAAATACAGAGATTTGGTTAACGGACACAACATTACCATATCATTTTGCAAGCGACTGTCAGTGTTAGATTCTCCCAGCACAAAAAGCAGTTTTCTGGTTGCTTCTGCAACATGCACAGCTAATTAAAGCTCTAATATGGCAGGAAATCACACAAGAATACACTGGTGCTGCTTCAGTGCTACACTGCAACTCATGGCCCAAGATTAACAGTGAGTGAGCAAGGTCCTGACTTGACCTAAGTGCACACTGAGTTCTAGCAAGCCCAGTCCACTGAACAGAACAGTGTATAAAAGCAGATGCCAGACTTTCTGGAGGTACTTATTTGACCACACACCTCATCATCATAGGCTCTGTGATAAGATCAGTCCACCTTATACCCCAAGTGACTTCTACAGCCCTCTTCTCAATCCCATACATGGGAAACCATCAACATCATACTCAGATGCTTGGTCCTACACATAGTCAATGAAATTTCAGGAACTAGTATCTGAGTCGTCTTTTTATCAGGTCTTGTGTGCTTCCTCTCTTCCCTGCACTGCACTTCTGTGACGCTTCCCAGCAAGAACAGGCTCTTCATACCACACAGTCTTTCTGGAATACGATTTGACAGAAGAGGGATGTTTGCAGCTCCAACCTCAACAGAATGGACTGTGTATGCAGGGTCTGTCTGCCCTGCTGGCACCATCAAGTAAGGAGCTCCTGCACAGGAAAAGTGGTTGTAGTTGCCAAGAAATGACTGGTGTAAAATGATGCCACAGCACGGCCTGAAACTGGACAGCTGCAGCTGTCTGAGGGGTATTCTGCGTATAAAAGAGGATCAGAAATAATGCCCAACCTTGTAAGGTTACAGGCAGAGAGATTTGGCTCCACTCTGCCTGGTTTAACATCAGGTCCCTCTGTGCTGAGTGCCTGGCAGTGCAGGGAGATCCTACAGACTGTGCTCTGAATCATTTCCGCTTCAGACTGATTGCTTTGCTATCTACAATCTGTTATCTACCCACCATAGGACTGACACACAACGTGCACCATGGGGTATGATTTCCAGAGCACTCGATCACACCAGGATGGCAAATTGTACTTCATCTGCAAACCAAAGGAGAAGTGATGTCAAGAAGAAGAGAAAGGACCAGCTCACAAAAGAACAGGAAATTCTCTTGCTCAAGCACCATAGATGTGTGTCAGATCTTTTTCTTTGTATTAACTCCTTCCAAAGCAGTACAAGGACAGAAAATGCAGAGATTGGTTTAGGTCACTTCCTTCTGTAGGAGTTATTTCCCTGCTCTGCCACATACTTCTGAAGAGAAATGAGTTTTCACCTACCCCTGTAGCTTTTTGCTTGGTGTAAGCATACTTCTCCCGGGTACCTCTTTCAAAACGGTAGGTTGGAGCAAAAGTGATCTCTTCTTCCTCTAAAACAGAGAGGTAGCTGTTACAGTGTGGCCCATTGAGAACCCTCATCTGGCTGAGACAGCCGCTGCTCTGTATACTCTGCCCCATATCGAGTCTGGCAGAGAAAGTCAATAGAAATGGGAGAAGAACCTGCCAACAAACTCAGAATCTTACCAAACTGCAGAAACACCTTTTGGTCCTTTCTCTCTATGAGAAGCTGGTCAAAGGCCAGCAGCTCCGGATACTGCTGCTGCCTGATCTTCTGGATAATATTCTCTGCTTCCTGCCAACAGGGAAACAGCAGAGCTGCAGATGATGCAAAACCTCCTTATAAATACTCCCTTCACTGGGGAGCTGGCAAGTGCTTCTGAACTGGTTCACAGAGCCGTACCCCCTGCCACTTCCCCACTGCTCCCTTCACTGAAAGGCCCCAGTCTTTGCGTGACCAAACATTTGTCTATCAAAACACGCATCAAAATGCCCACACATCCCCCACGCAAGCACACACACAACCAGATGCACATCAACACCAGGCTGGCTGTTGTCTCCCACCCACTGAAACCTATCCAGTATTTATTATGGCTTGCCTGTTTCTGAAGGCCGGTTCTGAGCCATTAAAAGCTAACCAAACAGTGCAGAAAGGCAGTCTCTGGATTAAGCTGTTCAGGGACAGATGCTTACTCACAGTGGGAAGGAGAGCTGGGAGTTTGGGGAAGTGATGCTGCATGGAGCAGCAGAGTGTGCCAGATGGCATTCCTTGGTCCAT